GGATTGTTCCACAGCATATTAATGTAGACAAAGTTTCTGTCTCACCTAATCCTACAGCTGTTTAGTCCCAAATAAACACATGTTACTCCTTCAGCAGCTACATGGTATATCTCTGGTGGCCCACTCTACATGTACCTCTTCCCAGGATTCTTCTAGACCCACCTATCTTCCTGCCTGGCTACTGGCCAATTAGCATTTATTCATCAACCAATAAGAGAAACATATATTCACAGCATACAGAAGGACACCCCCATCATACTGTAATGTATATGTGTCTTTGGTATCAAATAAAGAATATAAAGAATGTTATTTGTGAGAAAAATCCCACATTCCTCTATAGCTCTCATTCTGGCAAAAGGAAATAGTAGTGTTATAATCACACTTACTCTGAAGCAAGCAAACAAACAAAAGCCAAAGAGTTGTATTTTCCAAAAATAATTGTAAAATAGATTTTCCATTAAACTGTAAGTGGGTGGCTTTCTTCCATCTAAGGTCATGAAAATCTCTATTAGAAGTCAATATTTACCTGAGAGACCAGCCAAGTGGCATGGAGAGAGCACAGGTTCCTTTTGTCAAACCTGACAAGTTGAATCTTCAGGACTCATATGGGACAGAGAACCTACTCCTGTAAGTTGTCCTCTGATTTCCACACAGCTACACATAAACAAGTACAAAGTAGTTCGTACACAGGAACATACAAAATAAATAAATTAGCAATAAATCAATCAATAAATAAATATAAAATATTAAATTAGGATTTCGTGGCTCCTCTTCACCCTGAAGTAGGTACCAATTTATTTTTCAGGATCATGATGTTGCACTTCAAACCTTTTTTGAAATGATGTGATAATTCTATTAAGTTTTTGAAAATTCATACAGCTTACCTTGGTCATATTCATCACTCACTCCTCCTCCCAAATCCAATTCCTCTTGGATCCACCCCTTCCCTAACCCCCCTCCCTCCACTTCTGCCCTCTTTTTCCTTTTTTTGTGAGACTATTTTGTAGCAGATGTACTGTTTTTCCACCTTGTCTTTCTGGATGTCCCCTGAATCTTAGGTGTAGTGATTGTATTGCATTAATTGGAAGTCACTGCTTCAGAGGCAGTTGATTTCTGTGTGGGGCAGCTGTGGATTTCTGTGACGATCTTTTTATGTGACAATGTTTCATGGATAAGGGGTGAGAGCTACACTTCTCTATAGACACAGTGGTGTATAGAATACAATGAGACAGAAGCAGTTGCATGTGCATCTCTCATGTGCATGGCCTCACCAGCCATGGGGAATCACTAATTTAATAGCGTCAGACATGAGTTTTGTCCTGTGGAGCAGTAAATTTACTTAGATGGCTTTGGTCACCCCAGAACATCAGTGCAACTCAGCCCATTCAGGATATCTTGCTCTACTTGTCATTACTGTGAATCATTGTTGTCCCAGCTGAGTAGGACTAGTGATTTCTTCTCTCCATTCTGGTTGTATGGCTGCTTATGATATTATGAGCAAGCACTCATGGAGGAGGCTTCCTGGTCAGATCCAAATCTATTCTTCCTAGTTTGGTGCCTGAACTATGTGGTATCTTACCTTTTGTGTTTTCTGGAATGCACCAAGGATCATGAGCCTGTGTTGTTTGGGGAACTATTGGACTCCCCTTACCAACAACTCAAATGGAAGTTCATCACACTTAGCACTGAGTTTATTTTTTACATAATCTATGGTCTTGTTGCTGGGAGCATTGCTATCCCAAGTGACATAACATCAATTAATCTATAAAAGATTTCCCTTATCTGTTTTCCCATTTCCCCCTTCATAATAACGGTGTCTTTCTATCCATCCCCTTCCCCACCCCTGCATCTAGGGTGCTCATCCACCCACCTCCATTGTCATAGTCCCTTTTCACTATTCTGGTATCTGTGATTACTCAGGGTTATGAACTAGTGATTTGTTACGATAAATCTTTCCCCCAAAAGTTGCCCAAGCCCTACTGCCACGTGGGCAGTCTCCTCCAGCCACCCGAGTTCTGTCCGCTATGTGGATGAACAAAATAATACAGAGACATATTAGGTACAAATGCGGTTTGGCCAATGACTAGGATTTTTTTTTTCTTGGTTTTTTGAGACAGGGTTTCTCTGTGTAGCTTTGGAGCCTCTTCGGGCACTCACTCTGGAGACCAGGCTGGCCTCGAACTCACAGTGATCTGCCTGCCTCTGCATCCTGAGAGCTGGGATTAAAGGCATGCACCGCCAATGCCTGGCCAATGACTAGGATTTTAATCTGTTATCTTAGTCTTAATTATCATAAATCTATATAGTTTATAAGACTTATCTTATCGGACACCTTCCATTGATGTCCCTCCTTGCCAGTGTATCACATTGTGCCGCTGGATGAAGAGCAGAGGGGAAAAGGTGGACACTTCCTGTTTCTCCTTGCTTAATTATGAGTCTCCTTGCTATGTCACTTCCTGCTTGGATCACCACTTCTCTACTACATTTCCCAGAATCCTCTTTGACTCCTAGTCCTGTCTAACTTGCTGTCTCATTGGCCAAACTGTATTTTATTTATCATCCAGTAAGACAAACACTTCCTCCATCAGTGATTTTTAAAAATTTTTAAATTTATCATCTTCTGAATAATAAAATTTTCAATGTTTTAGATCTTGTGCTATCTATTTTAACATGTGTAAGACTTCAACCTTTGCAACAAAACTTGGAGTTCTTTGAAGTCAGCCCCATTCCTTAATGCCTTCATAGCTAATTCTATATCCTTTTCTTTCCCCAAGACTCTATACATGGCTGAATGAAGAACACAAAGTGGGAAAAGATGGGCAGCAGATAGGTGTGTTTGTAGTATATGAAGGTTTGCAACAGGCACAGCATGAGGCATGAGCACCTTTATTGTTGTCTGCTTCAGAATCGGAGCTATGGTAGGACATTGGATTCTGAAGCATAGATTCCTATGACTAAACATGCCTTTTGTGCAGCATTGAGAAGTGGGGAACCAGGCCACAGGGAAGTAGATCTGTTAGCAGCAGCTTATATTTCATGTAAAGTGACAATGGCAGTGAAAGTGGAAAGTGATGAGAGAAAGCTGTGACTACTGAGACCACCTCTCATGTCGTTTTTCAAATCTCTATTCATTAGTGTGTATGAAATGCTTTACTGGGCCTGCCATGGATCCTTTCTGTTTTCATTATTCACTTTGGATACTTGCCTGTACTTATTTAAATATTAATAAGACTTTCTTGATGTTTTCTTTGTTCTTTTTTTAAGACTTAAACAGTTTTTCGGGTTTTTTAAAATACAAAACTATGTTCTACTTTCATATATATGTCTAGAGTGTGCATTGGTTTGTTCGAAGTGTGTATGTATGTGTGTGTGCTCGGGCGTACGAGTGCCTGCATGCGCGCACCAGTGTGCATGCATACATTTGTGTGTTTAAGAAAAATGTAAAGACTAATTTAAGAGTTTAGGTTCTGAGAGGTGAGTCGTTGATGGCTCACACCTTTAATCCCAGCACTCAGGAGGTAGAGGCAGGGAGATCTCTGTGAGTTCGAAGCCAGTCTGGTCTACAGAGCGAGGGCCAGGATAGGTTCCAAAGCTACACAGAGAAACCCTGTCTCAAAAAAACAAAAACAAAAACAAAAACAAAAAGCTTAGGTTCTGGACCAAGATAACTGGGTTTAGGCACTTGCTTCTATGTTATGAGCTTGAGGTGTGTGATGTTGGAGAAATTATCTAACGTCTTCTTGCCCCAGATTATTTATAAATAACATTAGTAGAAAAAATAATTATACCTATTTCATAAAGTTGTGTTAAAATGTAATGTGTTAACCTTTATAAACTCATCAGCCATGGGGAATTACTAATTTTATAGTGTCAGATATGAATTCCCTCCTTTGGAACAGATAAGTATACTTAGGTGGCTTTGGTCACCCCAGGGCATCAGTGAGTGCCTTACATTGCCAAATACGTGTTAGCTATAATTTTAAGTCTCAGAGAAAATGTATTAGAGAGTAAAAGTATCCTACCCATATTATCTAGAGAACTTGGTAGTGGATTAGGAATGAGAAAACAAGAGATTTAGTTGTCATCAAATTTTTTTTTGTAAAAATACATGATTTTGTAGTTGCTGAAGATATAAAAAGTAAACAACAGGTTGTTTCTTGTAGGATGTTGAAACAATGAAGTCTTTCTGAAGAATAGAAAGTGAAATTACAGAAAAAGCAGGAGTTAATGGTAGAATTAGACCTAAGGCAGAAGGTCTTCTACTAGAATACTGGTCAGCATTCTAGTAGAAAGGAAATGATCAACAGAATTAGTAACCCCTCAGAATTTAATTGGAACAGGAAGCCATGATCATCTATCAGTGTTGGTCAGACAGTTGTCATTGATAAGGAATGCAATGTATTATGGTATGGTATATGTGTGTATAAGTAATAGGATCAAGAATGTGAGGCATGGATGATAGACACAGTAACAATCAAGACTACTCTTTTCATGTAGTTTGTGAAGATGAAATGAGCATTGCATTGTCTATAGGAAGCAAAGACAACTAAAGCAGAAAAGCTTACATCAAAAAATTAAAGATTATAGTGAGAAAGATTGATAGAAAAATGTCCCTGTAGTCAACTCAAAAAAATATTAGCTCAGTTACATAAGCAAAACGGACAGATAAGGTCAGGGAAAGGACATTAGTGTCTCCCGAGTGATGCAGCCTTGGCTGAGAGGCAGAGCTGGTACAGGGTGTCTTTGTGTATAGCTTTGGAGCCTATCCTGGCACTCGCTCTGGAGATCAGGCTGGCCTCTAACTCACAGAGATCTGCCTGCCTCTGCCTCCCGAATGCTGGGATTAAAGGCGCGTGCGACTAACGCCCCGCCCATTCTACACTTCTATACGACAGAAGCAAGGTCTCAGAGAGGCACTCGTTCTCCAGTCACACCGAAGGGAGGCAGCAGTTTGAGACTTGGTGAAGAGCTTTTGTGTGGATCAGCCCTTTCAGCCTGAGCTAGAGGTTTCATCCCCCTACAGCCATGGGACAAAGGAAGTCTAAACCGAAGCCGCCCCCCAAGAAGAAGATGACAGGCATCCTGGAGACCCAGTTCACTTGCCCCTTCTGCAACCACGAGAAGTCCTGTGACGTGAAAATGGACCGTGCTCGAAACACTGGAGTTATCTCCTGTACCGTGTGCCTAGAGGACTTCCAGACACCCATCAAATGTCAGTCAGAATCAGTGGATGTGTATAGCGATTGGATAGATGCCTTTGAAGCAGCTAATCAGTAGCAATATCAAGGACCTGCCCCCTCAGCAGTACCTGACCCGGGTACCAATCCAGAGACATTCCAGGGCTATGACAACCCTTCCTCTGTGTATGGACTGGATGTGAATGAGCGGATGTGTGTGGGGCAGCAGACGTGGCTGTAACAGTGACCCTGACTGCTTGTGGTAGGGTGGAGGTGAGGGGTTGCCGGGTCTCACCATGCTGTTCAGGGTGGCCTCAAATGACTCTGAAAGCCTTCGAGTTGCTCCCTTCTTCAGCCCCCAACCCTTTCCCCAAGCTTTTGGCTCCTCTGGTGATCATTTCCTGACATCCCCAGCAAAGAATAGCTGTGGGACCTCCAGTCTCCTCAGCCACCTCACCAGCACATGGTCCTTGGAGACCTGGACCTCCTGTCCTTCCTACCTCCTTGTGCTTGCGGCCTCAGAGTCAAGGTCGTTTGCTGAGCTTTGCCTGGGAGCCCATTTTCCTCTTCCTTTGCTTTTGTAGAAAAGGTAGGGGCTAGTTTAGGAACTCACAAGCCTGTCAATAAAGCACCCAGTGCGAGGAAAACAAAAAAAGATAAACTTTTTTCACTAAGATATCATGGAAAAAAAGCAGGTTTAACATCATCAAATTGATTGATACCAACACCTGAGCCAATTTCTCCTTGGGAGACCCAGTAAGTTAAGTGTGTTGTTTATTTAAACTTTTGGGTGAAAACAGAGACACAGGCAGAGTTTAAGAAAGCTTTGGACTGATTTCCTGGGATGAAGATGGAGAGCTTAAATTTGAAACCAGGCAATCTGAATCCTGACTGATTCTTATCTGTTTTGATATTGAAGCAGGAAGAGTAGGAAGGAAGGGTTGTCAACAATTACACTTTTTATACCAATGGCTTTTATTAAGAAGCCAAACAATAACATATATACATTTTATATTATTGAACTAATTACTTTGTTGTTAATAAGACTTTTTAATATGAATAAGATGTTTAAAAACTGATGTCATCTTTTCAGTTGTCATTTAGTGTCTTAACGTTTGTGATTAATGAGTGTTTACCAATTATCTATAATAAGTGTTGGATCTGCTTTCCAATAGCCATGAAAACTTTGACAGTATTTTAAACCAATCTAACAATTGAGCATCAAGAAAAGTAAATTGGACAGGTGATTGTTTGCTTTTTATCTCATGGTATAAAATGATAAAGAAAATATGAATCATACAAAAAGGGTCAAATGCCAGTAATTTCATACTACTTAACTCATTAAGTGAAAATAATATTTAGTGAGGCAAATAATGACATCTGTAATGTATTATTGTTAGTTGTGCATTGTTGTACATGGTGTGTGTGTGTGTGTACATGTTCTTGGTTCATGTGTGCACATATATGTTTGTGGGTGCATGTGTACATGTGTGCATCTGCTTGTAGAGGTCATAGGTTGACATTGGGCATCTTCTTCAGGCACTCTTCACTTTAGGTTTCAACATAAGCTCTCTCTTTGAACCTAGCCTACTGATTAGATTACACTGACTGGTCAGTGGACTCCAAGGATCTGCCTGTCTCTGCCTTTCTAGAACTTAGATTACAGATGTGAGCTGCCAGGTCCATCTTCTTATGGGTGCTGGAATCCAACCCCAGGTCTTCTTGCTTGCATGGTAAACTTCTTTAATGACTGAGCTATCTCCCAAACTACATAATTTATTGTATTTCATAGGAATTTTGACAATGATGACCTAGTGTATGTCACTCTCTTGATGTGTATGTGTGTGCAGGTGTGAGTGTGAGAGTGAATTCATACTCAAACCAACACGAAGTGTGACAGGGAAATGTTTGCACTTCTGCATCTGGGTTGGTATAAGGTCAGGTGGTACACACTCGGGTTATGCATATGAAACATAAAAATGATGGGAATAATCAAAATGTGACATTCCAATGTTATTGTTTTTCTCCTTCAAGGTTCTATAGGAGAATCATGCCAATTTTCTTTTGCAACTCTTTAGTATTCAGCCAAAAATTTTAAATAAATGATTGCATGGAGGCAAATAATATCTTTTTTTACATAAAATACACCTATGAAACCTAGATATTTCTTTACTCAAACAAACAAGACTATTTTACAAATTACAAAATTAAACTCTCATTGAGAGAATACAAGTGGTTTGTGGAAAGTCTTGTACATTTAGAACAAAGAGAATCTGATAAGGTACATTTTCTATGATATAAAACTATAGCATACAGATTACATTTAAGTTATACATGCATTTTTATTTATGAGAATTTTATGTATGACAGAAAAAATAATTTTATCTGATTGTAAGTTGAATTTGTAAACATCATTGACATGATGGTTAATAAAACTACAAAAGAATGGACCTGTCTTTGAAAATATGGATAAGGCTCCATTTGCATCCTAACAAGTGTGTACACTTAAAGGATTTGTATTGTTTTCATATTTAGCTACATATGATAAATAAAAACAAAAGCAGACATTCATTTTTTTGTCATCTGAATGAGTCTGGGTTGCCCCATCTTCAGTGATGAGCTGAGTGCATATGAATAGGTTGGAGGCTACCAAGGAAAGAAAAGGACCTTTAAGTACCAAATGTGTATGTGTATTGTGCCCTCTGCTGGAGGATAAACACCTGAGTCAAGAAGTGTTTATGAAAAGGAAGAAAATCATTCTCCCTACCCCACAATTATACACTATAATTAATCAGGAACCTAGGCACACCTTATAAATATGTCTCTGTATTCCAAATCATGATCCTGGGAATCAATATTCATTTGTAAGTAGACACCTCATCAAAAATATTTACAGGATTAAGCTCTGTGATCATATCTATGTTCAATAATTATGATTAACTTCATCATACAATGCAAAAAATAAAAAAATCAAAGCAAAAGCTCGTCTATACTCATTTGTTACAAGAAGGACAAACAAAAGTCCAGCAAACTAACTTCAGAAATAAGTCTGGGTTAGCCAAGATCTGGAGCTCAAGGCTTTTTGTCTAGTAGGAGTTCCTGTAGGACATTGGACTGGTATTGAGACTCAAGGTTGAACATCATGTAGCTTAAACTAAGGCTCAGTGAAAGCCCTATACAGTCCCACCAGGAGTTCATTTTTGGTTGGCTTTCAAAAATAGCTTGAACCAGCATTAAGGAAGTCTTATTTCTTTGTGGGGAAGCTGATAAAAACCTCACCATCTTCACTCACTCTAGGTAACAGCCATTTGCAATCCAGATACATATTGTCAAGGACCATAAAGAAAGAGAACACAATTTCCTGTGACCCTCTTGAGATAAAGGCTGACTTTTGTTCTCTTTAATGTAATTACAGACATCATTACTGATCATGAAGCATTCATGGAAGCCAGCCAAGGAAGGAAAAGTTTAGTCATTCATGGTATCCTAAAATCACAGAGCTTACCGAACTGTCCGTCTCTCCAGTAAGCAGACATGATCATTGTTTCAACTGTTCAAGAAACTTCCAGTCACCAGCCCTACCAGGGAAAAACGTCAGAGAAATGTGGAGTAAAACCAGGAGAGAAAACAGCACACTAGACTCCATTCTGACCACAAATCCCTGGATATGACTCCCAGTGACGTGAGTGAACTCGATCCACGCCAGTAGAAACAAGGTCAGGATCAGGGAAGAGATACCTTAGCATTAGTTTAGGGGCATGCTAGCCAGTGTGAACTCAATCAGTCAATCCTCACTTTTTCCCAGTGAAGAAACTTAGTTGATTGGGTTTTGTTTGTCTTTTAAAAGAAGGAATGAACAAGGGAAGGCTGTGAATCCCATCTTTCCAAAACCTAGGGTAAGGCAGGGTAAGAGATAAATGCTGCACACTATGTGGTGTAGGTGTGTGTGTGTGTGTGTGTGGAGAGAGACAGACAGACAGACAGACAGACAGACAGACAGACAGAGAGAAGGAGAGTGGGGGCAATAGCCAGGAACATGGTGATATACCCTTTATATAAGCAAAGGGAATATTTATAACAAACTAGCAATGTATCTGTCAGTAAATTTGGGGACATTATTTCCATTTTATGGGAGGGGGTTGAGATGAGACAGTGTTTCTCTATGTATTCGTTCTAGCTGTCCTGGAACTAGCTCTGTAGACAAGGCTGCCCTCAACATCACTGAGATCCTTCTGCCTCTGCCTCCTGAACACTGGGATTAAAGGAATGTGCCACTACTGATCAGCCATCATTTTCCATTTCTATAAAAATAAGACATTGTGACTTATTGGAAGTCTTTGATAAGCCTGCAACTCCATGCAACTGAATATTCAGCTTGTTTTACTTTTGGAGAAGAATGCTTTAGAGAAAGAGCCAGAGAATCTGTAGAGTTGCTGGGGTATTAGGAGTCAGTGAGTGGAGTCTCTATAGAGTTGCTGGAGTGTTGTGAGTCAGTGATTGGAGTCTCTCTTAAGGAAGTTTCATGAAAGGAACGGGTTCTGCTTTGTTTCTGAAGATCTTTATCAAAGTTTGGCACTTAATGCATGAGTGATTAGAGGCTAGATAACTAATAGAAATGTTTTCATTTGATACACTTCTTTGGACTTAACAAAGCCTTAAGTAGGAGTTTGAAGGAGAGGAAGAGCAGGGTTTGAGAGGATTAGGGTGGGTGTGAGTGTCATGGGAAATGACATAGCTTAGAACAGAAGGGTTGGCAGATCTCTCGAGACTAACAATTGTAGTTCCCTACACACTACTTCATTTCTGAATAACTCTTAAGAGTTTCAGAGGAAAGGAATACACAAAATAAAACAATGCCATTATTCTGTTTGTAATGAATGTTAACTAAGTAATGTTGGTCGTTTGGAAAAATGCAAATAAAAGTGTAAATATGAGTTAGAAGGGATAGCATAGCCAGATGCAAGGGCATAGAGGGTGAGCAGACTACAACTTTGTCCAAATTATGTGAGCGTGCACCACAAGGTAGGGAAACACAAACAAAAAGTTCCTATTTGTGTAATATTCTGTGCCAAGTTTAGAGCCTTGGGACTTATGCCATGG